GTGAACCTGGGTCAGTGCGTATTCTGTGGTGACCCGGCGCACGTAATTAAATTTTGTCCAAAGTATAGACAGGCCCGTTGGGCTGCCCAGCAGTCAAAAGGCAGCCGCCAGTAGGGGTTGCAACTGCCCCTACTTCCAGGCCATGTGGAGAAGTAAGCGCGCATGAACAGGACACTCCCAACCCACATGAGCCTATGGCAGAGGTTGCAGGCCCGTGCCTAGATAGCTGTCCAGATACCGCCTGTGTTAGCGTCTCTTTAGGCACGTCCCTCACAGGTGTGGCAGAAGAGTTAAAGGAGAGGATGCCAGCCTGGGCCAGAATGAAAAAGGAGAGCAAGGGACAGCTGATTTTGGTGGATGTAGAGGTGTTTAGAAGTAGAGTAGGGGCCCTTATAGACTCAGGGGCTACCCGTAGTTATATCAGCCGTAGGGCGCTGAAGAAGTTGAGGCTGGGCCTAAAAGTCCAAAAGCTAGTAGACCCCATAGTCAGTGTCCTCGCAGACAACCGCACGATGCGCGTTGAGGACTATGTAGAGGAAGTCCAGGCATATTTTTGCCTAGAGAAGGATGGGAAGGTGGAGAAAATTCTCCATTCCCTGACTCTCCTCGTGCAGGATGACCTTCCTTTCGATATAGTGTTAGGAATGGATTGGGGAGAGGCAGCAGGGGCTACACTTCATTTGAGAGAGCATGAGTGTAGGCTCCCTAGTCCGCCAGGCGAGGTTAAGACTGCCCGCTTGTTCCATGTGTGAGGTGTAGATAACACCTTGGCACATTGTTGTCTCAGTGCTCCCGCGTTCGCGCGATTAGTAAAGAAGGAGCAGTTAGAAGACCAGGTCTTTGTAGTTTATGTTAGACCTTCCACTGAGGCCCACAACGCGGGATAGAGATAGAGCCTGGCAGTAGAACTCCTAAGGGTGCAGTCTACAGGATGTCCCCTAGAGAGTTAGAGGAGCTTCGCAAGCAGTTAGACGACCTCCTTGAGAAAGGTTGGATCAGGCCCAGTTCGTCTCCTTTTGGAGCACCCGTTTTGTTTGTCCCCAAGAAGGAAGGAGAGTTGAGAATGTGTATAGACTATAGGGGTTTGAATGCGATCACCGTGAAGAATGCTGAGCCGCTGCCCAGGATAGACGATCTTTTAGATCGAGTGCAGGGTTGTAAGTATTTCTCTAAGATAGACTTAAAGTCCGGATACCATCAAATAGAAGTCCATCCTGATGATCAGTACAAGACTGCATTCTGGACTAGATATGGGCATTATGAGTTTATAGTGATGCCCTTTTGACTGACCAACGCGCCAGCTACTTTTCAGCGTTGTATGAATGATCTGTTTAGACTGTGGTTAGATAAATTTGTGGTAGTCTACTTAGATGATATCCTAGTCTTTAGTAAGACCCTCCAGGAGCACCAGGGTCATCTCAGGCAGGTCTTGGAGAAGCTTAGAGAGGCTAACTTCAAGATCAATGCGAAGAAGTGTGCGTGGGTCAAGACGCAAGTCTTGTACTTGGGCCACGTGTTGGACGRAGATGGCATTAAGCMAGAGGACAGCAAGATAGCGGCGATTAGAGATTGGCCGACGCCCCGCACGTTGACAAAGTTGCGGTCGTTCCTAGGCCTAGCTAACTACTACAGGAAGTTCGTGAGGAACTTCTCCACTATCGCCGCTCCCTTGCGCAGGTTGTTGAAGAAAGAGACAATCTGGCAATGGGATAAAGACTGTACGTCTGTGCTAAAAAAGTTAAAGCGCGCGTTAATAGAATATCCTGTCCTCAAAGTAGCGGATCCGTCCTTGCCATTTGTCGTCACCACGGACGCGAGCCAATATGGGATAGGCGCCGTGTTGCAGCAAGACGACGGCAATGGCTATAGACCCGTAGAGTTCATGTCAGCGAGGATGCCCTGTGAGAAGGTTGCTGC